TAAGGCACTAACTTTCAGCGTTATTTCATGATTTAGGAGGCCTAACATTATAATTAAATTTAGAAAATCTATAGAGTGTAAGTCATCAAATGAATTCATGTCCCTATCATCTTTCACAATACTATCAAAACTCAAGTATAAAACATCCTTTTTGAGGATCATGGACAACATGTACTTATTTACTTCTTCAATCACAATTAACAAAAGGGTTAAAATAGCCCTATCTCTGAAATATGAATAATTATAGACATTACTAAGGAAATTTAAGAAATTCAAATCAATAATAGACTTTATTGGATTATTTAAATCATCTAGTAACAAATCATTTAGGATCTTAATGTCTAAAGTTTCCTTCATTAACTCTAGCAGCAATCCTATCATTAATTGAAATAATCTAATCAGTAAAATCCACCTAGAAAGAACCAAAATATGTTTAAAAAAGACAAAGAGTTTACGTTATAGAAATCTTATCATAGTTGCTATGATTGAACACCTCATTAAAAAAAGCCATTTCTTCCCATTTGACCATTGCATATATAATTTTTGAGTATATGATCCATAAAGAACAAAAACCTCTAAAGATTTAGACAATTAGTAAGTGTTGCAGAACCTGTCTGAGCAGATCAGGAAATCCATGTTAGAAGTATATTAAGCATATATATATATATATATATATATAAAGGTGCCATAAGAAAAATGGCTTGACATAACATAATTAACTAATGACTCCAAATTAAGACTAAAACAGTAAATGAAATTCAAATTTAGATGCACTGTCATCGTCCCTAATTTTATATAAGAAATTTAATTATGAAATTCGACTCATGTCCTTGTAAAGGCCTAAATATACATTAAAATTGACTTGGACAATTGGACCTCGCATTGATAATAAAGAACATTTTCAGTAAAGTTGCATTGGGTTGTGTGATAAAAAAATTTAGTTAAATCATACTTATTATTATATGGATACAAATTTGATCTAAACTTTAGCACATTCATGGTCATCTTTAATGCATATGGGATTTTGACAAATGAGTTAAAAAAAAGTGGCTGGAATAAAGTAGGAGCTGCAGGTGAACAACTTAGTATACTTTATGATGTAACACATACTCACACACACTTGCATGGTGCTGAACAGAGGGAAAGAGTAGAGAGAAATTAGAAATACAAAAGGAGAAATGAAGAAAATGAAGAACATAATAGTGGGGGGAGTAATGGAGGGAGATAGACGTAGAGAGAGAGAGAGAGCTATTAGATTTTACACATAATACTCATTCATTCATCAAAAATCTTCTTACAAAAGCAAATCCTAATCTATTTAAACTAAACCTTCCTACCTATTAAGGAAACATTAATAACTTGGCTAGATAAAGCTAATGTTTAGATTTCCTTCTTTGTAAAAGTATTAAAATGACATAAAAGTAACTTACTTCTTCCTAGATAGGTTTCTTACAAGCAACATACAATGATAATAAGCTACTAGCCTAGGTTTCTTCAAATATGTTATTCTCATATTTCATCATTCTCCCTTGCTTGATAGAACCCTCCTTTGGAGCAGTAAAAAAAAGTTGATGTAACTCCACTAGAGCATGATAAAGGGAATTCTTCCTAGTAGCAACTAATCTGGAGACCCTTTCTAACATACAAGATAGTAGAAAATGAGACTATATGGAGAGTAAGCAATGTGATCATAGTGATTTGGAAAACATTCTCGATGAACAAGGTAGTTGTAAGGTTGTTATCAAATAGGAAAACAATATAATCTTTGATAACCACAACTTCTTTTCCAGTAAATGGTGTAGCACATGGATGATTGGAAGTAGGAATTTGACAAAGTTGAATACTCCTCTTGTCAAGATCCCTAACTTGATAAACCACTAAGGCTTGTGATTCAAGATCTTTGGCCACTAATTTCAAACCTTGCTTCAATTCAAGACTTATGTTTTCATATTTCATCGATTTTTCTTCTAAATCAGCATCATTCTCTTGTTTCTTAATAATAACTGTGCTAGCCTCAATTATTGCCTTGACTTCTTCCATAACTAAGCTTCCAATTTCGAGACCACTAGTGTTGTTAGCATCCTTTTTTTGTGTAACTAACATAAGTGAAGCCTTTTTTATAAGGACAGTATTTTCTAATGCCACAAAAGAACAATCCCTTCTAGGTCTTCACAAAGTTTTTCCCATAGCACGTGGTTCACTTACATACTTAAAAGCTCTTAAGATTTCATCAACCTTTCTATCCATGTATTCCTTGAACTTTTGATTTTTTTTCTTTTCCCATCTTCCTTACCAGCCTTACAAGATTCCTTATGGAAACTAGTAGTGATTTGAGACATAATAAACACAAACTAAACTCTCACAAATGATGTATTCCACATAAGATAGGTCTGAACAAAACGAACCATGTAAAAAAAATAGAAAAAACAATGAACTAATAGGTTTTGAGAGGATCATCTGCTTACCAATATAGCTTTTGAGCCTTAAATATGAAACTTTTTTCCCCAAACTAAGCTTTAAATGATCATTTATCTCAACCAAATTGATCAGAATAAAGAAAACCTTGTTAAACACCTCATAAAGTGTAGAAAAACATGTTCAAGAGGCTTCTAGAAGGATGGTGTGTGAAGTCACGCGCAAGGACTGTTACTGGCATATGGGCACGTGAATACCACATGTAAAATTCCACGGCACATGGAGGCACGTGCGGCTGACGATGCAGGTGAGATTTTGGGCTCTGATCGAATTCTTCTTTTCGAGTACAGTGATGGTTGTGGTTTTAGGATCTAATGTCAAAAAGTTTACTTCTAGGCAAGGCAGCGTGAGTTAGGGTTTTTAGAGATTTTTTTTCTTACAAGTTTTAGCGTTTTCTAGTGATGGAAATACCCAAGGATTATAGGAATACAAGCTCCGATACAAAACTGATATAACACATACTCAAACATACTTGCACAAATCTAAATAGAGGGAAAGAGCAGATAGGGAAAGAAGAAGAAAGGGAGAGACAGTGAGAAAGACATAGAGAGATGAGGAAGTTATTTGAATATTCATTCACAATTTTTCATTCATCAAGTGTGTTCTTACAAGAATAAAGCCTAATCTATTTAAACTAAACTTTCCTACTTATTAAGGAAACTTTAATAACTTAGCTAGATAAAGCTAATGTTTAGATTTCCTTCTTTATAAAAGGGGTAAAGGTACTTTTTTTTTCCTGAAGTATTTTTCGAGGAGCACCCAACACGGTAACATTTTTGTTAGAGCAATTTTTCCCTTAAAGTTATTAAACAAGAGCATTTTTACCCTTTTCATCAAATTTTCTAACAGTCAATGTTTGAGGTCAAGGTTGAAAATTTGATAGAAAGAGCAAAAATGCTCTATTTTATTAACTTTAAGGACAAAATTGCTCTAACAAAAATATCAGGGTGTTGGGTGCTTCTTAGAAAATACTATAATTGTAAAAATGCACCTTAACCTTTCTAAAGATATTAAAATAACACAAAAGTAACTTACTTCTTCCTAGGTAAGTTTCTTACAAGTAATATATAATGATAATAAGCTACTAGCCTAGGTTTCTTCAAATATATTATTTAATTGGTGGCTAATTTCTTAAGATGGGTATAGTGTCGAATTGTTTGTGAGGTAAGTATGTCCTAAGTTGGGAACAATGCTGCTAAGAGTTACAAATTAACAATAATAATGATCAATATTTTTTAAATTTTTTTAACTTTTTTAAGAATATTAAATTAAAGACACTTTAAAAATTAAATTGCATGCTCTAAAGGATCAAACAAAAGATTTCAGACCAAATATAAAAGGAAGAACTACCTTTTCCTAAAAATCCATATAAGTCAGACAAATAAGAGGTCAACGGCCTTACTAATGAGGTTTTAAAAGCCTAAAAGTTGTACTTTTACCCTAAATTACTGTGAATGATGATTTGGGACTCTCAATGTAACACTTGCCCCGAGTGTTATCCAAAAATCACACAATTTAAATAAACTAAGTGTGGTTAAGGAGTTAATCCTAAAACCAACTTAGGAAACAAACCATTTAAATCACTAAGCAAATATACGATTGCAAAGTAAACATTTAAAACCTTAAAAAAAATTATAGGTTCTAACTATAGCGCATGGAAGCAAGTTAGACGAAAGAGAAATAAAAAGATACTGTCATGACAGCATTTAAATTGCTGTCATGACAACCCTCCCGAGTCAACTTCTAGGAGGCGTCGTTCCGCCATCCGACCTCCGATCAAAGTGATTTTAAAGCTCACACGTCACATTCAAAGGGTACTATAAGTATACCAAATTTCAAAAAGATCCAACGGTCAGATTTAAAATTAGACATGTTAAAAATTTGATTATTTTTGCTGTCATGACAGCTAAAAAGCTGTTATGACAGCACTTCCGGATCAACTTCCGGAGTGCACCATTTCATCATCTGACCTCCGATCGGAGTGATTCCAAAATCCACATGAAGCTTATAAAAGGTTTTACTTGTGACCCAAATTTTAGAGAAATCCAACGGTCGGATTAAGATTTGGACACCCGGATGCAAAAGTGTAGCTTTTTGGTAAAAACCATTTTCAAAATTGTCCAAATCCCATCCTAATGGTCACAAACCTGTAGAAACACTTTGGACACATCAAATAAGATTAAAAACACTTGATAGAACATTCAAATGATGGAAAACCCCCATACATCAAAATTTGACCACCCGGATGCCATTTCCCAAAATGGACCCTAAACCCCCAAAATGCACGAATCATACAAGAGTGGTCACAAATCAATCCAAATACCATGTATTTATATAAATACATATGCTAAACATTTTCACTTGGCTCAGAGCTCCTTGTGGGGCCCACGCACCCACTCTCTCTATCCAAGCTGTATGTTTGCCCATAGCACACCATTTGCAATGCAACCACTTTGCATTTGCTTATAAAATCACATATATATCAAAATAAAGATCTGCTTGTAATAGAAACTTGGTCTACTAAGTAAATCCATCAAAACCACACACCATAACCAAGTTTCCTAGCCACAAGTCTGCAAACAGACAAAAATTCATACACAAGCACACAATCCACACATATTCACACACACACACATAATCATATCTTACTGGCACCCTAATCTTAAATACATTACAATATATTTGCTCAAAAGAAAGGGGTTGCAGTTCTTTACAAATCACAAGCAAACCCCTAGCTTTGCTCCTTTCCCCGTCCACCACTGGATCCTTCGTCTGGACCTAGAATATTGAAAAGAAAGGGGTGAGACAACCACAGTCTCAGTAACAGCGAAATTTACATTGATTATTACAAAGTAAGCCATAATCAAATAAACGAATAATAAATTCAACATAGTATATAATTTAACCATTTAAAATGCATGAATGCATGACCTAGGCCGATATGGCCTTTCATGACCAACAGAATGCCCCCTGGCACTCTTTAACTCGCAGGTAAACCTTATACCTACTTGTACCTCCACAGGCACAAAACATAATCTAAGGTATGATCTAATCCACCGAACCGCCTATGCCCCTTCGACGTGAATCCTGAGCAGTCAAAGCTAACTCCCTCCCAGAGCCAGCCCGACTTACTCTCCATGTGAGGGCTATCTTGGCCTAGGCACTCAACCTCACACTTCATATGTCGGATTCCCTCCCCCACTGAGAGGTGTCGAACACTCAATACACTAACCACTTTAGTGCACTGAGCCCACAATACGTAAGACAACACTGAGTACTGACAGTGTGCCATAGAATATCAAAAATCCACACCTTCTCATTGGTGAACTCCCACCGAGATCATGCCTTTTACTCTTGTCTACCTTTCCTGAGTATTGACCATTCAACACTCTAAAGTAGTATAATATTTATAAATCTCATTTCCATAAAAACATTGTTATTAAACAATTAGAAAACATATTTGCACTATAATCAAAGTAGTACCCCATAACCCCTTATAAAGCACATTTAATCTTTTAAAACATGTAATGCATGATAACTAGTAATATTTATTCAAAAATAGCTAAAACAAAGTAATAAGAAATATAAATTCCCCTGTTACCTCAACCCTTTGGTACTAAAAGGGTTCCCCTTGTACAAAATAGGGCTCGGCTTGTTCCTTACTTCTCAATAAGTTCCACCAACAATTTTCTACAACATATAAGTGATCCACATCACTTATCATGATAAATAGCATTAATGAAGACTATAACTTATACCACACAACTTAGGTCAATGAGTCATAATCCACCCTAATGGTCCATATATTAAACCAACCATTCACATAGTATCACTTAACCACCAAAACCATTTATTAGCCATCACTAGGCTAATTTTCAATTTATATAATTTTTTTAATCAATTAAAAACTTTCACTTAGTGTCACCAACTTTCACCATTAGCCCTTATAATGAAAACCAAACCTTAATTTAAATCTTATTGGGCTCAAATAGCAAAATTATAACTAAATCAATAAGCTTAAACCATTGAAGAGCAAAAACCCAATTTCTCAGGATTTATTTTGTGCCCAAAACACCTCTTTTCATCCAATTATCCACTCAAAATATTATATCACTATATAGAAACTCAAAACATGCTCCCTAGGATCCAAAGAAATAAAAGCTTACAAGAATAAAGCCTTTGGGATCAAAATCCAAAAATTTTCTCTTCCAAAAATTGAAGAAAATCAAGAGAAAGAGAAGAGGATTGAAGTAGGGAGTTTACCTATCGTGTAGCCGAGCTCGCAACGGTCGCAAAGACTCCTAGATCCAAGCCTAACTCCCTCCCTTTCTCTTCTCTTCTTCCTCTCTCTCTCTCTCCCGTTTGTGCGTTTGCTTCCCTTGTTCATTTTCTGCGTTTTCTGCATCTGTTTGCTCCTTAAAATGCTGGTCAAAAATTTTGGGGAAAATTACAAGAAAGGGCCCAACATTTTTTATTATTGCACAAAACCCCGGGTCAACTTTGGTAATTTTTCCCATAGTTAAAAATCAAATAAAACCAAACTTTTGCTTAGTAAAATTCAAATTCTGGGCCTCTATTAAATTATTCTAAATTTTAATTTAATTATAGATATTTTATTTTATTTTTATTTATTTTTTTTAAATAAATTTGAGTCTTAAAATTTTTAGGATGTTACACTCAACTTGAATCAAAACTGTAGAAAACTCCTCGAATACACCCAAAATGCAAAAAAAAATTAGATTTTAGGCACTGTACATGTTGACACGTGAAGTCACACACAAGGACTGGCACCAGCACATAGGGCATGTGACGACCACACGCAGATCACTTTACTAGTACATGAAGGAGTGTGTGATGGAGGATGGAGGTGAAAATTTGGGTTCTAACTAAATTCCTCCTCTTGAACATGATGGTGGTGATATTTTTACAATATAATGTTGGGAAATGGAGGTTTCTAGGTAGACAGTGTGAAACGGGATTTTAGAGGCTTTCAAGCAATGAAAACAACCAAGGATGGTAGAAACACAAGCTTTAATGCCAAACTGATGTAACACACTTACACATACCTGCACGGTGCTGGATAAAGGAAGAGTAGAGAGAAATCAGAAATAAGGAGGGAGAAATGAAGAAAATGAAGAACATAATAGTGGGGGAGCAATAGAGGAAGACATACGTAGAGAGAGAGAGAGAGAGAGAGAGCTATTAGATTTTACACATAATACTCATTCATTCATCAAAAATCTTCTTATAAGAGCAAAGCCTAATCTATTTAAACTAAACCTTCTTACCTATTAAGGAAACCTTAATAACTTGGCTAGATAAAGCTAATGTTTGGATTTCCTTCTTTGTAAAAGTATTAAAATAACATAAAAGTAACTTACTTCTTCCTAGATAGGTTTCTTACAAGCTACATACAATAATAATAAGCTACTAGTCTAGGTTTCTTAAAAATATGTTATTCTCATATTTCATCACTTTGTATACAACATGAGTTATAATAAAGCATAGTTATAAGTGTAAAGAAACGATTATATGATTGACCATTGTATGCCATGACATTTTTACCTACCCAATTTCTATTATACTATTATCAAACCGAGAAAAATATTTCAAGGAACATTTTATTATTCATTATCCATAGAATTTAAAATTTGATTATAATATCTATGTCATTGATAATCAATTTCATTAGTTACCAATAGGAAAGATTCTTCAGATATTATATTAATATGAAATATGATAAAACCACAATTGAACACATACACAAACCATTTAGATGATCAAGCAGAGTTTGGATATTTCTCATCATATTATAAAAGTATTAATCATATAAGAAGGTTTGATCATAATTTAGAATTCAGAAATTAAAAAGTTAAAGGGCCATATCAGAAACAAATTAATCAAACCAAAGCCTTTAGGAAAAGAGGACATCCTAACCACACAAACTTACTATGCAAATTAGGCAACATTTCTACCACCATTTTGGGCATCACACAATAGAACCCAATGAAACAAAAGGTTGTTTGCAAAAATGGGAGGCTGCATGACTAGCAACAACAATTTGGTAATAATGAATTAGTTTATCCAAAGTTTTTATTACCCCTTCCTCCTCATTTTTCTATTGATCTGCAAAATGAAATCAACCTTCATAGCTATATTGAATGCAACAACTGTATAAGAAAGAACTTAAATTACACAAAAATAAATGCCATATGTCTATCAATCATCTAAATCTAATTGAACAAATTTTGTAAGAAGAATAAGAAGTGAAGTGAACTGAACCCGTAGCCAAATAGATTATGAAGTTGAATGATGAGATCATCTTTCTCTTTAGAGAAACAACCATGTTTGACGTTGGGTTAGGATAGTTGAGCCACCTTAACCAACAAATCTTCCTACTCAAAACAGAAGTAGAATTTAATTTGAACAGCAAAAAGACAAATAAATAAATAAAAATTATACCTTAAGAAGAAGCTGTAGATCCAGACATAGGTGAGAATATGAAGGGAAAAATCAAGAGCATGGGAGGCATAGGAAAAAATATAGAGAAAGGGAAGACGAGTAGGGGAGGAATGAGCTGAGGGATGGCAAAGGAACGAAGAAAGAATGAAGAAAAAGGAATTGGATAGCAGAAGGGTTAGGGATTTTTTTAGGAGAAGGAGAAAGGGGGTAGCATCTGTCACTGTTATCAATTTTTTTTTAAAATCATATTTTTTTAAGACAAGCTTTATTTAAAAAGAATGCCTCTCCTGTACCTTTCAAGCCGAGTCATGGAATAGAGAATCTAGCCAACATGTGAGTTGTGGAGCCCAAAATAGAGCCATTACTGTTCATAAGGGGTATTTTAGTGGAATAATTTTTAGTAATATATTGATTTTAAGTAATTACAATAAATCAAAACAAAATATCTAGAGTACATTTTTTTAGTGTTGTCAAGTTTAGTATATCATTTGCAAAGGCTCCCATAGAGTACAACTCATCTTATTCTTCTTATGATGATAAGAATAATATCAAATTAAGTTTGGTCATAGATATTGAAAATTGAAACGTAAAAAAATAAGATTTCAAAAATATTAATTGATGAAATTTGTGCCATATTATTTTGTATCTTCTAGGCTTATTTCTATTTATTTTTGCTTTTTTTCATCCTTTTAATAGGCTCCTCCAACTCTCCAATTTCAGATAACCTTCAAATTACATCTGTAAAAAAAAAAGTAGACAATTTAAGATTGAGATAAATAAGAATAGATTATTTTAACTCGTTATATTCAATAATTACTCTAATTATTAAAGTAATTATTAAATAGAATTTTCTAATTAAATAGCTAATTACTTTATTATATTTGATAGGTGAGTCATACATATTAAATAAACACTTTATTATTTTCAAAAACCTGTCATACTAAATAAAATTATCATCACTTTATTTTCTAATTATCTTAAACTAATTTCGTATATTAAATAAGATATTCGAGAACTCGTTATATAAAATAAGATTATTTAATATATGTACAACAATCTTTATATATTAAATAATATTAGACAATTCATAGTTAAAATTTTCAAAAAGATAAGAAAAAACTAAGATAGGGTATTATCTTAAATATGTTAAATAGAGTTTTCAAAAAATAAATTAAGAAAAAAATTAAATACATACCAACTAAGTAATTGTCATTCGTTGTCTCCCTATTGATAATGTATGAAATATTAATAAAATTGAATTCAAAATGATGGATAAAACCTATCTCAGGATATAACTTTATAATAGTAGAGAACATGAAGCTAATTTTATAAGGATGATCCATTGTTTGTTACAATCTAGAGCACAAGGAGACCTCAAATTTTGAAATTTCATATATTTTAAAGGGATGCAACTTATCTCCAAAACATTTCATAAAAAATTTTCAAATAACTGCAGAGATTCAATCACCTTATAGCAATGTTGTTTCATAGCTAGGATAAGTATTATATATTATACGTAATTAATGAGATCCAAATTATAAAAAAAATATAAAATACATAAATACTTAATCCTACATCCTAAAAGTCCAATTTAACACCATTAGATTCTTCGAATGTACTTCTACCTATCAAATATCAAAACATCAATCACCCTAACTACAATGCGCCACTCCTTTTTTATTGTGTTGATGGCATGAATGGCATGTATCTCATATGTAGAAACTATGGATAGTATGAATAATAGTTGAAAGGAAAATGAACTTAATGCGATTAATTAGAGGAGTGAGTCGAACATGAAGATATAAAATGTGCTATTAGCTTAACCTAATAATTTATAGTTGAATAAGGCTAATTTGAGAGGGAAAATTAAGATGTGATTTTTTAAAAAAATAAGATGATATATATTAAATATTTATTTTCATGATTTATATCCCAATATATATCTCTATATATATACTTGAAATTATGAACCTAGATTTTTGTCATATATTTAAGTTGGATAAGATTATTAAATAAATAGATATTAATTTGAATTTAAATATAATCAGATTTAAATTTCAGATAGGTAAAAATAAATTTTTATTTAATCTAAAAATTAATAATTTATTCCACATCTAATTTCAAACCTAAACAATATATTTTATATTTCTTAAAAAACAATAAATCATTCTAAATTTAACTCCATACCCAACTCTGGAGTACAGAACCACATGAAAGGCAACCTAAAATATAGAATTACAGCAAACATAAAAATAAACATGTGACATCTCAGCCATTAAACTTACTTATATATATATATATATATATATATAATGAAGCTATTTTTCAATCTTTTACTCTAATTTATGATTCATGAAAGTATGTGTAAGTGTTGTAAAGATTTGAAAAACTTAAGATCTCATGTATGTAAATTTTATTGACTTGGTAATTCATTTGGATTAATCCTATGATTACTTTACTTTTAGAATTAATGATGAATTAGTAAGGATGACCTTATATAATCAAGAGAGGTAGTTTTCCAAAGGTGAAAATGGAGAACATGGCATTGAAAATTGAGTAAAATAAAAAAAAAAGAATATGAGAGTTTTACAACTATTATTTTTTAAAAAAATTGAAACGTTGGTAAAAAAAATTGAAACAATATTAATTGAAACAATATTTTAAAACAAAGACGTGTGGGGAGGGGGAGGCTGACTCAGAAAATTAAATTCATGTAAATTAATATTCTTAACTAGATAGTATCTATTCTCTCCGTCACTATATATAAAACTAAAATTTTATTTTATCTTTAAATATAAGATATTATTAATATATTTTTTTATGAATGAATAATTATATTCTTATTAAATTGAAAAGACTCTGTCACTATATATAAAACTAGAATCTTATTTTATCTTTAAATATAAGATATTATTAATATATTTTTTTATGAATGAATAATTATATTCTTATTAAATTGAAAAGAAAAAAAATAAGTACTTTCATTAATTTATTTAAAAAATTTATTTTTATTTATAATAATTAAAAAAATTAAAATATTATTGTATTTTTAATTAAATAATTAATTTTTATTGATTTACGTAATTAAATTAAAAATAGGCAGGGAGGGAGTATCTGTTTATGCAGATAAGAATCATGCAGGCAGCCACATCTGAGCGATTGGTGAACTGCACGCGCTGCAACAACAAATTCTAATTCACAGATTCAGATGTGCCATTTTAAAAATTGGTTCCCATCAAAGGCTCTTGACAAACTATACAAAGCGCGGAGAGGTTTTAGAGCCCTCTACTTTGCCATCGACTAGGGTTTTAAGGTTAGGGTTTTCACCTCTCTCTCTCTCTTCCGATTCCGGAAGCCATGGATAGGTACCAGAAGGTCGAGAAACCAAAACCCGAATCGCCGATAAACGAGAACGAGATCCGAATCACCACCCAAGGCGCTATCAGAAACTACATCAGCTATGCCACCTCTCTTCTCCAGGTATCATTTACTCTTTTTCCTTTCCTTTTGCTTTAGGTTAATCTCTTTTGCTTTTCTATGTGCTTTTGGATTTCATTTCCTTCCTTTTTTGGATTGTATGTTGATTCAATCAATCTACATTCCAGTGGCTTTCTTGACTAGTGAATTGATATAAGCTTCCAATCCTACTTTCGTGATTACTTCCTGTGATTCTTTTTATTTTTGGGCAGTACCTTTTCCACTCGTGTTTAAGATTTTTTTTTTCCGGCTTACATCGCTAGCAGACTTGTCTATTGGTTTTGACCAATGTGCCGATGAAATTCATCTGAGTGAATTCTAATCAATGGACTGATTGAATCTATACATGATTGACTTCTTACCTTTCTTCCCAATTAATAAAACATTTGGAAACCGTCAAACCTGGTACCTGAGACTTGTAGATTTGTAGATGCGGTTTTTATTCCCATCTGACTACCTGCCTGTGCATTCTCATTTTTTCAAAGTTAGGCAACCTTTTGCAGCAAAATGCCTGATTCATGGGGACCATCCTACTTCTTACCTTCACGATCTCAATTAAGATCCAAAGCAATTCCTTTCCCAATCTGTGATGAGACATTCCTGGCTGTCGTTCTTTCATGGAAAGGTATTGCATCATGTCAAAATGTGCAAAGTGCTTTTAAGTTTCAATAGCTATATGAAATCCTTGCAGCATAGTTGAGTGCCTAAGATGCAAGTTGGAGTGACTAGCACCTGAACTGTATCCAGCAATACCGAGGTGAAGCAACTTTAGTGTAGCATACACTTCTTACGCGTAAACTACATGCTTCTTGTGGGGTACAAGGAGCTAGATTTGCCATCATGCCATCCTTTTTTTTATCCTGCTACAAAGGAGAAGAAAGAAAAAGGAGAAGGAAACCCCAGTATAAAATATCTAATTATGGGATTAAGTAAATTAGCAGATGTTTGAACAATTGAATTATGTGAACTATTGAATAAGTGAATGCCGGAGATAAATAAGGAATGGAGTAGATGGAAATTTCAAAATTGGTTAAAAGAGTTTGATGTACAATTCAAAATCTTATCAACAGAAGGAAAGTGATGCATGGGTATTGGAACATTCTAATTTTCCTAAGGCTTATCCCCCTAAATGAGGTTGGCTACATAGATTGTGCAATATCATTGTTCTCTGTCAACAATTGAATCTTTGGATATCTTGTTAACCAATGCCTTATTCTAATTTTCCTAACATTGGAGCATTTTAATTTGGTAGTAATAGATCGGAGCTCTTATGTAATCAGGTTTGGCAATCCTGCTTGAGAAGTATGTGAGACGCATGCTATATGACACTCAAGTTTTGCATTTTAGTTTTTATTTATTCTTCCAGCCCCTAAGCCCTAACTGACTGAGAAACTTTAGGATCATGGAAATGAACGATATTTCTCTTTACAGCAGCTGTTCTTTGCCTATAGTATTCAACTTGTGTTTATATTTGTAGAGAATGAACATCTATTAGTCATCGCAGGCTATCTTCCAAACCAATTAATCTAGTTGGATCTTTTCATGGGAATATCATTGGAAATCCATGCGATGATTACATAATGAGAGAAAGAGAAGATATCATGTGAAAAAAAAACATTATGTTCCACATGTGCCTTATTGTTTATGCATGTGTTTGAATTGGTGAGGACTGTTGCTTTTTCTTTACTTATCTTGAGAAAAGGCCTATGCAGGGGGTAAGGAACCAAGGGGGAATAAA